AAATCAGGATTTTGTTTCTTTTTCTTCTTTTCGATTTTTTCAGCATCAATGGCTGAGACTTCGAGTAGCTTTAAACGATCATAATCGAGACCTTTTGCTTTGGCTTCTTCGCGGGCCTTTTCATCGGCCAATATCCAATCGGCTTGTCTTTTGCGTGCCTCCCAATTGTTGGGTAGTTTCTTGCGTGCATCTTCTGCTATCACCTCTTGATGATTGTGGGTACGTGCTTCTTGACGTAGCTTGTGTAGATTTCGTAAACGCTCCTTACGTTCTGCTAACTTTTGGGCAGCAGTCTTCTCGGTTTCCATGTTTGCGGGATTATAATTTAATTGTTTTATTAGGATATTTAATAATTTTTAATGCGTTTTTCTCTATTTTGCTTTTGTTTACAAATAATTTACAATTAATGTGAGAGTAATGGCGTTGTTGTTTTTGACATATACAGCGGAGCAAATAACAGGGTGACACCGAAAAAATATCATTGTAGTTGAAATGTTCATTCACAATAACTCTTACTGGTGGTTACATGTAAATTGTATTACATTTACAAAGAGTCAATCGTTGTATCGAGTAAGATCAATCCTGAATTTCACACCCATATGTAATATATGGTAAATAAAAACCATAAAATCCATTTCTGTTCAGAAATATCGGTTACGGTTGATGGTCGGTATTTTGATGGTTTTTGGTATAATTTGTTATATTGGGCTTGTTGTATGGTAGTCATGGTACAATTATAAAAGGTAACAGCAAATCCCAGCTGATTTGATTCCAACGTAATACTAGTGCCAATATGAATTTGACAAATTATGTTTTTAAAAATCACCCAACAGGAAAATTGGGAACGGATACAATTTGAAATTGTTCTTTATTAAATGTGCTCCCGTATTCTATTTACTCAATCTGCCTGCTGGGAAAGTTTGAGGAAGCAAATCTTTCTTCAAGGAATAACTCGATATTCCCAGCATTTTCATATGTGTTACACATATATATGACAATGGCTCAATTATAGGAAAGATGTGGAATAGATAGATATATAAATTTGATAGATTTTCATTTATGTTTTTCAATTTTTATTTTGAGGATTCGAAAATATTTCATTTTCAAAATAAAAATAATTTGATGATAATTTGTTTGTTTGTTTACATTTTTCTGTCAAATGAGTTGACACTAGTAGAACTTACAACAACAAATTTACATGTGGTTGTTGTATCGTTTTTTGTACAACAACACTTGCTGTTACCTTCTATTATTATACCATGTATGGTAGTAAATCTTCCTACTAAAAATTATCAATATTGGTCCAGCTTTTAGGGATACCCCAATATAAGGATACACTCCAATGATTGTTATTTTGGGGAGTTTGGGCGTTTCAACCAATCTAGGAGTAATTCAATATTTGAGATACGCGTTGAGTAGAAAATGTCCATACCAACAATTTTCAACAGTGGTCCAAGTTTCCGAGTAGCCCCCATATAATGGTAACCTCCATTATCGGTATTTCGGGGGGTTTGGGAACGATTTTCAACTGAATATGTTCTAATTTTATGTTTCAGGTTCTCATGGGGTGTCAAATCTTCTTACTAAGCATGATCAATACTGGTTCAGCTTTTAGGGAATCCCCCATAATACGATACAACCCAAATTTCGGTATTTTGGGGAGCTTGGACCCGTGCTACTATCAAATTGGCAGTAATTTTATATTTTGAATTCTCATTGCGTAGAAAATCTCCCTATAAGAAATGATCAATATTGGCCTATGTTTCCGGTTAGCCACCATATTTTTTTTTTGTTTAGGCATGTTTTTTTACCGAATTGAGTCTAATTTGATTTTTCAGATGCTCATGGGGTGTCAAATATTCTATTCCTACTAAAAATGGTCAATATTGATTCACATTTAGGGAATCCCCCAAATAACGCTACATCCCAAATTTCGGTATTTTGAAGAGCTTAGTCCCGTTTAAGTCTTCCAACTAGAGTGTCTGTAATTTTGTATACTATTTTTCGGATCATGAATATCCTACTATCACATAATTCCATAAAATAGTCTCCATTTAAATGTTCCAATTGACTTGAGGAATTTTGAATGCACTTCACGTGCTGAAGGGTATACAAAAAGATTCAGCCCGGCCGAACTTATCAACGTTTTTACTTGTTTTTACATCATTTTACTTTTCAAAATTCGTTTGTCTTCGTATGTATTGAAGAAACGACTCAGACTATTTGGGAATTGGTTACTAGGGCGCCGATTTCGCCTAAACCATGGTCTAGTTATATGGTTACCCAGGGAAATTAGTCCCAAATTAGGCTTATGTGAATAGGCTTATGAGACGTGAATAACGTCTAAATGTTTGACATTTAACTTGGGAGATTACAGTTGTTTTTCAATATTTACCTGTGTAAGCTTATTAACAGACCTTGTTCTCGACTCTCTTAGATTAGGTAATTTCCTCCAAGAAACTCTTCCAAAACCAGTTGACTGTTCTCAATTCATTCGAACAATCCAATTTTCAATGGCATTGATCATTTGAAGTTGTGTTAAGAACGCATTTTGTAAGATGTACTGTATTTCCGCCTTAGTAAAAGGAATTACACTGTAAACAGGGTGTTTCATAAAAATATAAATGGTATCATTCACAATAGAACAAACAGCTGTAAACCAGTTGGAGGGAAAAATCTGTCTTGTAGTCCTCTTTATGTGCAAAATCTGAATTCCAAACAATCTCTAAATAATAGTGCTCCATATTCGATGTGCAATGCAACAATTTTCACGAAAAGAAAACTTTCTTATTGCCAATACCCTCAACTGTGTACCATTTTTGCTGCAAGGTCATTCTATCCTCATAGATCTTCGTAATGAATGTTCCGTTGCCGGTTGTATTGATAATGCTGATGGTCATATGAATATTCATTTAACAAATGCCGTGTTTATTAATCGTATGGGTCAGCAGGTTGCATTCGATCAATTTATGGTACATGAGCGGATGATTAGGCAAATACATTTACCGTCGGACGTGGATATGTCCAGTGATATACGGACGTGGTGTGATAAAGGGTGTCTTAAAAGGCCATTGCGTTCAAATGCTGGCGTTAGGGGCCAGAAGAGAACGTTTAAGCAGAAGCGAGCACAGGAACGGCATAAGGAAATTCTACAGGAATTGGAAAAGAAGCGCACGGAGGAGAAATAAGGAGGTAAGGGAATGATTTTCTTTGTAAATATTTGGTTATTATTATGATTGATTAATTTTTGCTGTTCTATAGAATTTCATATAGGTATACTCGCCAGAAAATATAATACAAGTCAGCAAGAGAATTTCTATGCTGTTCCAGAAAAAATACCAGCCCAATATACCAAATTTGAAGGCAAATTACGATGTAAAAAAATGGCCTCTTTATTGTCCTAGATTAACGAAATAAGGACTCTGTCGTTGGATTACAGTTATATCGTTTTTTTGCAGAATTCATACTTCCCGGAATATATGAACCTAAAAACTTCATTAGAACACTTGCATTTTTTCACAAAAATATTTAAGAACAAAGAATTTACAACACAATTTATTGAGTATCAGAATTGTCCCCTAAGGGGATATGACAAAATGTGATTTTATTGGTTTTCAAAGTTTTCTTTTAATGTGTGTATTTTGAAGCGTCCATACAAGGCGAGAAGAAGAAGAAAATCCGAATATCATCACGGAGAGTTTGATCTTACTTCGAATATTCGTCCAGGCGCTATATAGGAGGTGGCTGCCGCAGTGAAGATATTCAGGAAAAAACTCTCAGCTACCCTAAGAACAGCAAGATTTGACAGCGATGATTACTAAAATCTCTAAAATTTGGCCAATCAGTTTTAATATGGTTCTAGAAAGTATAATGTTATGAAATCATATGGTCTATCAACGGCGACAATGATAATGAGGTGGTCTGAATTGAGGGAAATGATGGTAGCTATCCAAACCATCACCTTATGGATAGGCACCCACCAACAGGTCTTGTCAAGAAGGATCTTCATGATCTGGTGATAGAGGTTCAGAGGTACAAAAGGGAGCTTATGGATCAACAGGCCTATCAAGCAGTATTTAATTGTATTCAAACGGATGCATTTGAGAAAGCGATAGATATATATATATATATAGAGTGACAAACCAGTGTAATGTTGGCACAGATCGCACACATTTAACTCCATGTTCACTTTGAACGCAACCGTTACAAGTCACAGCCTTTTTGAAACTGGATTTAGTATCAGAACCAGATTATTAAGATTAAAATTCTGCCTGGACAACACGAGTAGCATTGGAAAACTATTGAAAAGTACTCTCTACCTAGCTTATAAAAAACTAATTGTGGATTTCTGGGAAAATGATAATATTTTTGCCCACTTCTTCTTCCAGGAAACAACATAGAATTCGGAAAAAAATATAATATATAAATAAATGCATTTGAAATTACAATTAATAAAGCTTATTACAGCAATATTTTGTAATTAGAAAACGAATTACAATCGATAATACGCACAACAAATTTGTTAAAAATTTACCATAGGAGCTAATACCACAAAATTATCAATTATATTCCAAACGAGATATATCAATTAAATTTTCCGGTGAAAAATAAATATAAATTAATTAATAAAAAAGAAATATTAATCCTATGGGTGTGGCAAATATAAATTTATTATATTTTAAAAACAAGCTACATTTTCGTTAGATATATACAATACTACTTTGGAAATGAAACATCTCAGAAAAAAATAAATTGCCACGAAATATGAGAAATTCGGAGAGATATAGCAAATATTGAAACCTATCGATCCTAGTATTTGGCAAGACAAAAAATCTAATTTCTCTATTAAAAGAGTTATGATTTTTAGGTAACGACCAAAAAAATATTCCAACAAAGAACGTAGGCCGAATTTTAAGGCATGAAGGTATTATATCGCTAGATAGGGATAAGGATATATATATATATATATATATTGATTTATGCAAAATTATGTGCGATAAAAATATTACTTCCCCAAGATTTTATATAAAATACGTGTCGTAATACCCTGAGCTTTGCCTCCACAGGAAGCATCCCAAAAATGGGATTCTGAAACTAAACGAGTTTATCTATATTCTTTCGTTGTATGATTTTACAACAAAAAGTAAGTAAAAATAACTCACTATGCCATTTTTATTGACATTGGACACGTTATTGCAACGAAAAAATATTTGTTTCAAATCGAATTTGTATAGACCGGAGCACTGTCTTAATAAAAGCTGTAATAGTTGCAGTTTATAAATGCTGTTTCAAGGCCATGGTACAATTATAAAAGGTAACAGCAAATCCCAGCTGATTTGATTCCAACGTAATACTAGTGTCAATATGAATTTGACAAATTATGTTTTTAAAAATCACCCAACAGGAAAATTGGGAACGCATACAATTTAAAATTGTTATTTATTAAATGTGCTCCTGTATTCAATTTACTCAATCTGCCTGCTGGGAAAGTTTGAATAAGCAAATATTTCTTCAAGGAATAACTCGATATTCCCAGCATTTTCATATGTGTTACACATATATATGACAATGGCTCAATTATAGGAAAGATGTGGAATAGATAGATATATAAATTTGATAGATTTTCATTCATGTTTTTCAATTTTTATTTTGAGGATTCGAAAATATTTCATTTTCAAAATAAAAATAATTTGATGATAATTTGTTTGTTTACATTTTTCTGTCAAATGAGTTGACACTAGTAGAACTTACAACAACAAATTTCCATGTGGTTGTTGTATCGTTTTTTGTACAACAACACTTGCTGTTACCTTCTATTATTATACCATGTTTCAAGGCATATAAAAACATGTTGCTTAACACTAGACAGACGGGAATTTTGTATATATGTACCTATATTGCCTAAAATCGGTCAAAATGACCTCATTCTGAAAGAATTTTTATTGTGTAAAGAATTTTTTTTAAACTAATTTTTTAATATTTTTACATTATTTACAATCATACAAAACGTTTTTATTATTTGTTTTCGGTGGTAGAGCTCTCGAGATTCCCCTTTTGAAAAATAAGAGCGCGGACAAAATGTTCGAAAAAGAGGAAGTCTTTACTCTAAGAGTGAAATCGACTGGAAATATAAAATTTATTTTTCCAATTTGTATGTTCGTTTGTGTTTCTAGAGTAGCAAACGGGTTTCGATGTTGTTGTACTGATCTGGTCATATAAGAAATTTACTTTATACAATAATAAACGTAGTTTGATTATTTAATATTTCACAAAAGGTCAAAATGCCCGCTTTTAGGCCATATAGGTATAGCACATGTGAATACGGGGAATGAAAGAGGGGAGGAAGCAGCTACTATGATTAATAAACGTAGTTCTAGGTGGTTCAAAAAGTCACCAAAATTTAAAAAGCTGGGTCATAATATACACAATTGTTTTTGTACTAGAAATTGAAAATTTTTAAAGGACGAAAACCCTGATTTGTAGTTTTTCAGATTTGCTGTCCTCTTTTTATCGTATATGCGAGAAGGATATTAAATCATTATTTAAGGATAAAAAATATGTGTTTTTAAAAAACGCAATGGGCTATGATCCCAGTCTCAAAAATAACATAATTTTCAAAAAAGGGGGAAAAGGATTTGTGAAACCTGGAAAGCACTTAGGAATATTTTTGAAGCCACGACAAAGTTGTACCGAACTTTTTCTTTCAAATGAAAAAAAAAAAAAACATTATGACTTGCCAAACGTAGAGCCCTGTGAGAGCATAACAATGGATTGAGGCCTAAGGGAGAAAATATTTTGACGGATATGCTCCTCATTTGTAAAATACTGTGGTCCCAAGGGATGAAAATAAATCGTTTGATGAGTTACTGATGCAAATACATACAGTGAGTGTAAAAAGTATTTTGCCTCAATAAAAATTTGAAAGAATTCCAATACATACGCCTGAAGCCAGCAAACTAAAGATGTAAAATGACTTATGTATGATGGAGTATATTTGTGGACATATTTAGATCGTATTTCTGCAAGAATCACAGCGAAAGACCTATTGGCCTCGAAGATATCGGCCGAAATATATAACAATCCAAAAATGTTTATCACAAAAAAGTATTTTGCTTTTTATTATTATTTTAGAAAAAATTGTTATATTGAACACGTTTGGTCTTTTTATAGTTACAATTGCGGTTAACCACATACTATAAGCGATTTGACCACGATTCCATTACATCACGGCATTTTTTCGTGGGTATTTTCTCACATTTACATTCAATACATTCTCCATCAGTATTTCATTTAATATTTGGTATTTTCTCGTCCTAATCTTAAGGTGAGAGTATTAAAAATAGTCATTGCGGCTTCAAAATATCCCAAAAATGTTTAGAATAATAAAGAAGAGGTTTTGCAAAATATAACGCGAGGACAGAACCTTAAAAACTATAAAAACCAAAATACGACAAAAAAATTATTTAAAAAAAAATCGCGAAACCCAATTTTTCTGACTTCAAAATTTGTATGGTCCAGTAATATTGATCTAGGAACCAATACATGCAATGTAAATACCAATAAGGGGGTCAGATTCAAAGATATGAACAGTTCTAAAGCAATAGTAATAAAAACCAATACATGAAGTTGGGAGAAAACATCATTATTCGTCAAATCCTATTGTCTTTTGAAAAACTGTGGTTGCTGGTGGCGAATACGCATTCTATATTTTATCTCCGATTAACACCATCAGTTGCGAATAAAATGCAGTAGGGAATAAACGGGTCGATGTATTTCTTTTCAAAATAAGATGTATTTCCATTGCCAGAAAACCGTCCATATATTTGAATCTGACCTCCTTATTGCTATTTTCATCGTATATTTTGGTCCCTAGATCAGTAAAAATAAACCATAAAGTTTTCGAAGTTAGAAAAATGGGGTTTCGCGATATTTTTTTAAATAATTTGTTTGTCGGATTTTGGTTTTAATAGTTTTTAAGGTCCTGTCCTCGCGATATATTTTGAAAAACCTCCTTTTTATTATTCTTAACATATTTGGGATGTTTTGAAGCCGCGATGACTATATTTAATACTCGTATTTTGAGATTAGGACGAGAAATTACCAAATATTGAATGAAATATTGCTGGAGAATGTATTGAACGTAAATGTGAGAAAATACTCGCGAAAAAATGTCGTGGTTTATTGGAAT